CTGTCACCCAGGCTGGAATGTAGTGGGGCAATCATAGCTCACCGCAGCCTCAACCTCTCCTGGGTTCAAGGGATTCTGTCCTCTCCGCCTCTCAAGTAGCTGGGACTATAGGCATAAACCCCACCAGGCCTAGCTAATTTTTTTTCATTGTTATTAGAGACGGGAGTCTTGCTGTGTTGCCTAGGTGGGTCTCAAATTCCCAGACTCAAGTGTTGCTCCCATTCTGACCTCAGAAAGCACTGGAATTACAAGTTTGCACACTACATCTGGCCAAGATTGGAGGTTTAAAAATGCGTTACATTTAATTTTTATGGGCACACAGTAGGTGTATATATTTATGGGGTACATGAGATGTTCTGATACAGTTAAGCAATGTGTAATAATCACCTCAGGGTAAATGGAATACCCCTCACCTTAAGCATTTATCCTTTCTTTGTTTTACAAACAATTCAATTATGCTCTTTTCTTTCTTTCTTTCCTTCCTTCCTTCCTTCCTTCCCTCCTTCCTTCTTTCTCTCTCTTTCTCCCTTTCTTTCTTTCTCCCTTTCTTTCTTTCTTTCTTTCTTTCTTTCTTTCTTTCTTTCTTTCTTTCTTTCTTTCTTTCTTTCTTTCTTTCTTTTTCTTTCTTTCTTTCTTTTTTCTTTCTTTCTTTCAGATGGAGTGTAGCTCTGTCTCCTGGGCTGGAGTGGAGTGGTGCAATCTCAGTTCACTGTAACATCCACCCCACCCCCGCAGGTTCAAGTGATTCTCCAGCCTCAGCCTCCTGAGTAGCTAAGACTACAGGTGCATGCCAAGGAGATCGACTAATTTTTGTATTTTTAGTAGAGACGATGTTTCGCCATGTCGGGCTGGTCTCAAATTCCTAATGTCTGGTGATCCTCCTGCCTTGGCCTCCGAAAGTACTGGGATTACAGGCATAAGCCACCACACCTGGCCTCTTAGCTATTTTTGCATATACAATAAATAATTGTTTACCATTGTCACTCTGTTGTACTACCAAGTATTACATCTTATTCATTCTAACTGTATTTTTGTTCCCATTAATTACTCCTTTGCACCCCCTCCGGCCCACTACCCTCCCCAGCCTCTGGTAATCAGCATTCTACTCTCTATTTCCATGAATTCAATTATTTTAATTTTTAGCACCCACAAATGACTGGGAGCATGCAAAATTAATTTTTCTGTGTCTGGCTTATTTTAGTAAACATAGTGATCTCCAGTTCTACCCATGTTTTTGTAAATAACAGGATTCTATTCTTTTTCATGGTTGAATAATATTCTATTTTGTATATGTACCACATTTTCTTTATCCATTCACCCGTTAATGGACACTTAAATTTTTTCCAAATCTTGGCTACTGGGAATAGTGTTGCAATAAATATAGAAATGTGGATATTTCTTTGATATGCTGATTTTCTTTCTTTTGGGTATATACCCAGCAGTAGAATTACCGTGTCATAAAGTAGCACTCTTTTTAGTTTTTTGAGGACCCTCCAAACCATTCGCCATAGTCGTTGCATTAATTTACATTCCTGCCAATAGTGTGCCAGTGTTCCCTTGTCTCCATATTCTCATTAGCATCTGTTGCTACCTGACTTTTGGATATAAGCCATTTAAACTGGGGTGGGATGGCTGGGCGCAGTGGCTCACGCCTGTAATCCTAGCACCTTGGGAGGCCGAGGTGGGTGGATCACCTGAGGTCAGGAGTTCAAGACCAACCTGGCCATCATGGTAAAACCCCACCTTAAAAAATAAAAATTTAAATAAAAAAAAAAAAAACTGGGGTGGGTTGATAGCTCATTGTAGTTTTAATTTGCATTTCTCTGATGATGAGTGATGTTGAGCACCTTTTCATATACTCGTTTGCCATTTGTATGTCTTCTTTAGGAAAATGTCTATTCTGATCTATTGTCCATGTAAATCAGATTATTAGAACTTTTTTTCTATTGATTTTGTTTACCCTGAGCTCCTTATATATTCAAAGGTTATTAATCCCTTGTCAGATGGATTCAGGATTGGGTTTTGTCTATATTTTACACTCAATTCTAGACTGTTAAATGCTGTCAAGTGGAGAAGTGACTTAATATTATGTTGGAAGATGACTTTGTGTATTTACTACTATTGCTATGTAACATACGAGCCGGATATGGTGGCTCACACCTGTAATCCCAGCAGTTGGGAGGCCAAGGCAGGTGGATCACGAGGTCAGGAGTTAGAGACCAGTCTGGCCAACAGGATGAACCCTCGTCTTCACTAAAAATACAAAAAAGCCAGATGTGGTAGCACACGCCTGTAATCCTAGCTACTCAGGAGGCTGAGACAGGATAATCACTTGAATTCTGGAGGCAGAGGTTGCAGTGAGCTGAGATCACACCACTGCACTCCAGCAGGGTGTGGGACAGAGTGAGACTCCATCTCAGAAAACAAACTAACAAACACACACACACAAACACACAACAACAACAACAACAACAACAAACCACCCCAAGGTATAAAGTTACAAGGATGCTTATTAGTCTTCTCACAATTCTGGAGGCTGACGAGACTCACCTAGGCAGTTCTGGCTCAGGATGTGGTTACCTTCAAACAGTATGGAGTTAGAATAGTCTTGAAGGCTTCCAAGAACAGAAAATCAAACACCGCATGTTCTCACTCATAGGCGGGTGTTGAACAATGAGAACACATGGACACAGGGAGGGGAGCATCACACACTGGGGTCTGTTGGGGGGAAATAGAGGAGGGACAGTGGGGGGTGCGGAGTTGGGGAGAGATAGCATGGGGAGAAATGCCAGATATAGGTGATGGGGAGGAAGGCAGTAAATCACGCTGCCGTGTGTGTACCTATGCAGCAATCTTGCATGTTCTTCGCATGTACCCCAAAACCTAAAATGCAATAAAAAATAAATAAAAATAAAAAAACAAACATGTCAAAACCATAATTCATTTTCATTTTACTTTACTGGCATTAATAGAGGTAAATTCACATTTTTGTTGTTATTCAGAAAGTCAGTTTAATTGACAACCTATTTGTGATGATGCATAAAATAATGTCTGTTAATCATTAGCATCTTAGATCAGATGAAATATGTTAACTCTATTAAGCATTATTATTAAACCATAACAGGAATTGAGTTTCTTTCTCTTTTTTTTCTCCTATGCTTTAGCTATTTAAAATGCACTCAAGCATCTCCTAAAGATGTGGATACTTTCTGAGAAATTTGTCCTTAGTGATTTCATCTTTGCACAAACATCAGAGTGTCCTCATAAAACCTAGATGGTGTAGCCCACTCCACACATAAGTCATATGGTATAGCCTATTGCTCCCAGGCTACAAACCTGTATAGCACGTCTCTGTACTGAATCCTTTAGTCAACAGTCACACCATGGTGATTGTGGATTATGACCCCAGAATATCTGAGTCAGGTCTCAGTCAATTTGGAAAGCTTATTTTGCCAAGGTTAAGGACATGCCCATGACACAGCCTCAGGAGGTCCTGACAACATGGGCCCAAGGTGGTCAGGGTAGAGCTTGCTTTTATACATTTTAGAGAGGCAGGAGACACCAATCAATATGTGTAAGATGTACAGTCGTTTGGTCCAGTAAGGTGGAACAATTAGAAGTAGGAATTGGGGTGCTTCTAGGTCAGAAGTATATAAAACAAAAGGTTGCATTCTTTGGAATCTTTGATCAGCCTTCCACCGAATACAATTTAGTCTGGTTCAGTGAATCTGCATTTTTACATATACAGTAGGGCAGAGGAATGACAGGATCTTGGCCCACCACAACCTCTGCCTCCCGGGTTCAAGCAATTGTCTTGCCTCAGCCTCCTGACTAGCTGGGGTTACAGACATGCACCACCACACTTCAGTAATTTTTGTACTTTTAGTAGAGATGGGCTTTCTCCATGTTTGTCAGGCTGGTCTCGAACTCCTGACCTCAGGTGATCTGCCTGTCTTGGCCTCTCAAAGTGCTGGGATTACAGGCGTGGGCCACCATGCCTGGCCAGGAAGCTTATTTTAATTCTGATATTGTCAACTGTATTTCAGGCACAACTTGTTTTCCTTGGAGCATTAAATAATGCTTTGGTATTTTATTACATAAATAAAACACAGGTCCCTTTTAATCATATTCATTGCTAGTGATATTGACATCTATGTTTAGAAACATTGTAGAGTCCTGGCTTCTGGTAATTCTTTGTGAGCCTCTAAAAGGTAAATTATTTTTTCTCACAAGATACAGTGACACCTAAAGTCACATTGAATGTCCTGCCACATTTTTTTCTTTAGTTTCATCAATTTCTGCAAGGCATTTTTTTGGGAATAACTTTGACTATCCTTTTAAACTCTTCTGTATTAGAAAGCATCCTGAAAAAACACTGAATAATTGTAGTCACAAATTCCATTTACAGTCTTCCTGTCTTTGAATTTTTTTTTCAATGGCAAATATTTGCTTTTGTTGTATTGTAGCTAAAAGGAATACTGGAAAACGAAACAAAGACAAGCATTCATTAGAATAAGTGATTGAGTCACAATCGATTTGCTATTTTAACTTATTTTTTTTTAAAGTTATACTTGTGAAAATGTCCAGCTGTAAATTGAAATAGTCTCCAAAATATGAATTTCTTCCCTGGTTCCAAGGTGACCAGCTTTCCTAGAGAGTGAACCACACCACAAGAAAAAGGATCTGATAAATATGTTTACATGTATGTGTTGTTTTAATATAAAACATATAAAAGAGGCATTTCATTGAAATTATATATTAGTTTCCATAATTTACTTTGCAGCATCATGAATGCTCTTAAGAGTAGTTAGTGTCAAGTACTATTTATTATTAGTACAAATAAGCAGATATTTGAAAAAATTACAATTTTAAAATATTTTATTTTAAGTTAGCTTTAGATTCATACTGAAATTGGGAAGAAAATGCAGGTTTCCTATGTAGACCCAACCTAGTCTCCTCTCGTATTAACATATCAACATGTATCAGATATGTTATTAACATCTTTTTTTTTTTTTTTTGAAATGGAGTCTTGCTCTGTTACCCAGGTTGGAGTGCAATGACATGATCTGGGCTCAATGCAACTTCCGTCTACCATGTTTAAGTGATTCTCCTGCTTCAGCCTCCCAAGTAGCTGGGATTATAGGCGCCCACCAGCACACTTGGCTAATTTTTTTTTTTATTTTTAGTAGAGACGGGTTTTTGCCACGTTGGCCAGGCTGGTCTGGAACTCCTGACCTCAGATGATTTACCCATCTCAGCCTTCCAAAGTTCTGGGATGACAGGCATGAGCCACCATGCCCAGCCTACTATTGGTATATTTGCTTTGGTTGGGTATCTGTTCAGATATTTACCCAGTTTTTAAATCATGTATGTATTTTGTAAATATCTTCTCATGTCTGTCTTGTCTTTTTGTTCTCTGAATACAGTTTTTCTAAAATTTTATTTTGATTGAAGAGATGCATGTGCAGTTTTGTTACATGGGTATGTTGTGTGATGCCGAATACATTGTTTCACAGTAGAATACTTAGTTTTATAAAGTCTGTGTTATCAATATTTTCATGAATTGGCATTTGATGTTGTGTGTTAAAACTCAACACCAAACCCAATGTCACATAGATTTTTCTTTTAGATTTTTTATAGTTTTGCATTTCAAATTACAGTCTCTGGACTATTTTGAGTAGATTTTTGTTTTTCTTATTTTGTGTATATATTCATTTCATTCTACATGGCTTCCAAAGTCTTCCATCACCATTTTTGGGAAGGATATGGCTGCGGTGGGCTTCATTTTGGTTTGAATTTCCAAAATTATTACATTGAATAAATTGAATATCGAATTTTATAGGTATTTCAGGGCAGCCAGGCGGGGGTGCACGTCTGCTGAGAAACTGAGTAACAGCGTCTGTGCTGAGCTCTGGCGCCACCAGAGGGCGCGCGAACCCACCTCTGACCAACTTCCCTCTGAGGTGCCAGAAGCTGCCAGGAGCTTCGACTTCCTCAGGGCACGAGGGTCGTGTCAACTAAGTGTTGTTCATTGGTGAGAAAAAAGGTCCCTTTCCACGGCCCTGAGTGCAGACAAGAGAGTCTTTAGAGTACTCAGCAAAGGGAGAAATTCATCTAGAAAAATGAAATCCCCAAATCTCATTGTTACGACTGCACCCTGATATCATTTTGAACGTCCCAGACACAGTGGCCGCTAAGATGTATTCTCACAGTGGCCTCTACTATAATAATCACACCGTGCCCTAACATTACTTATGATATCCATACCGCGCCCCAACACCAATATAATATCCACACCGTACTCTAATGCTAATCTAATATCCACACTGTGCCCTAATGCTCATGTAATATCTGCACTGTTCTCCAACACCAATATAATATGTACATCATGCCATAACACTAATATCCACACCATGTTGTAACACCAATGTATCCACACAGTGTCCTCTAATACTAATAAATATAATAATATCTACTAAGTGGGTCTGTTGACATTGAGGCTTTTATAAGGGTTCACAGCTTTAAATGAAGCATAGCCTCTGTAGTGGATTTTGATGATGTCTCTGCTTTTCTGGAATAGTATTGATACGGTCGTTTTAAAAAGTAATTTACTTTTTAATAATATCATACTTCTAGGAAACTTCCAGGAGCAGCGGCTTAGTCTCATCGGTGTGGACGCAGAGTGCCCAGCTCAGGAGCCCAGGATCCGGAGAGATGTCCAAGAGGAGCAGACCCTCAGGCCAGATGGGCTGTGCACTCGGCGACCCTGACGCCACCCAAGGGAAGCGCCACCATCCCACACCAGTACCAGAGCTGCACCTGCAAACTGCGCATCAGGCATGGGCAGCAGTGGGGGCCGGTGGGGGAAGGAGCAAGCCCTGACTTTTCACGCATCTCCCGCTCCCTGACACCCGCCAGGCAGACCCCAGGGCCAGAGTCTCAGCGCTGAAGCCAGGCCATCAGCAAAGCCACTCCAGTGCCACGGAGTGCCCACGCCAGACCTGATCTCCCTTTGTGGAGGAGTGGGGCTGCCACAGGGTCAGACCGGCCTCCTCCTCCTCCATTACATGAGATATATGTAAGGATTGGTAATATTCCATTAGGAACTCATGTTTATGAAATGCGCGCCTGCGATCCTGCATCTGTGGTCTTTCAGCAGCCCGGGCGAGCCCAGGAGAACTCAGAGCCCAGCGACTGCCGACCTGCCTGCGCGTGCGTGGCAGCGGCTTCCGGGAGCCGGGCGGCCACCGTTGCGCAGGCGCACGCCTAACGGCTTTGCGGGACTTGCTCGGTCTGAGAGGTCGGAGGCTGTGAGTGTTGCTGCTGAAGGCTCTGGGCTAGAAAGCAGATATGGGATCGCAGATTGGTGGTTGGCGCTGGGTGGGGGTGGGAGGAGCCGCAGCTCAGGAGCTGGTTGTTGGGGATCTGAGAAGTCACCACCTTGAAGAAGTTCCTCGGCTTTGGGAGCCAGGGGCCAAGGCAGAGCAGAACCTCAGGTCCTGGGCTCCCTAGACCCGGTCTACACCGCTTCCGGTCTCCGAATCCGGGAGGCGGAACCACAGAAGATTCACAGAGGGGCGACGCCGCGGAGGTGGAGCTGCCTGGCGCGTAGGAGCGGAGACCTGCACGCCCGGGACAAGCCGCACAGGTAGCGGGGCTCCCCCCGGGGTGGGAGGGTTCCCTAGGCCCGGCTTTCCCCCTGGGACAGGGCCTTGGAAGGCGCCGGGGCGCCTTCGGAGCAGCGGAGCCAAATGAGCCTCAGCTGCCTTATCCCTCCTAATTCCCCAGCTGGAGCACCTGGTGGAAAGAGTGAGCGATTTAACTCACGAAGTTAGGCATATACAGCGTTGTTATTTTTAACGTTCACGTTTAAAACATGGTGTTTTATACATTACAGGAGGTCCCTACTGAGAGAACTCATTACCCTATCAAAAATACCGGGAGTCATTTTCAGTAGGCGAACATTTCTCAGATAAAACTGCCCGTTTTCCATAGATCGGTTCTTTACTGAAGGGTCTTAGAGGGAAACGTGGAAGTGGGAGGTGGGTTTTGTGTTCTTCAATGAGAAGACACATTTTTCTCAAAATGTGAGCTCTTTCTCTGTTTGTCAATTTTACATAAACCGAATGAAAATATCAAAGTTTTAACATTTTTGCACGACACCTGCTATCTTTTACTATTGTGATGACATTTTAAATAATTTTATAATGGACTGAAAAAATACTGGCTTCTCTAGATATTAAAATGTGCTATTAATTTCTGTAATTAATTGTTTAATAACAGCTGAAAATACAGATAAATACTTGGAAAAGCATAGGAAATCCAGAAACACTGATATAAGATATATGTAAGGATTGATAATGTTAACAGATATGAATAGGAAAGGATGAACTATTAATGAAAAAATGCCTGCTCTTTGAAGAAAACTAATGAAATTTTATATCACAAACTTGAGTGCCTGAGGGAACACAGATTTAAACTTTTACATATGCAACTGAGAAAAGTATAAGAAAACACAAATGCTTATTTTACAGGTATATTTTATGTTGACAAAGGCCTTCCTAAGAATGACCTCAGAGGCAGGCATTCTGAAGGTTGATTTAGCAAACTGAAAATTAAAACTGCCTGTGTATCAGAAAAAAAATGAGAAATTAAAGAAAACATACTTGAAAAGTATTTACTATATTAAATATATATATTCAGATGAGAAAAGTGTTTTCATTTTACAGGGAATTCATTATATATCATGTGATATGTATAGTACTGATATATATAGCCTATATATTACATATATAATGTTATATGTATATCAGTTATATATACAAATTAGACGAAAAGTTACATATATACACATTAGACGAAAAGTGCATATTCATTTTATAGAAAATTCTTTCAAATCAAATAAAAACTCGAATAAATGTGGGCAAAGAACTTTTTTGCAGATTTACAAGTTACTTATGTACATAGGAAAAAATCCTTTGCGTTTCTGGCATATTTAAATTAAAAGAGGAATGAAACTGTTTTCTGTCCACAATATATGTGAGGATGTTTTGTACTGCTGCTTAAAGTTTAAGTTGCTGATAAATTTTTAAATAGACAATTTGGTGGTAAGTGCTACATTTAAAAAATGTGTATACTCTTTGCCCATCAATTCCATTATACTAAAATACCCTTAGGAAGTAGAGGTACATGCACTTGGTTTTTTGCAGCACTTATTTTAAAAAGAACAGGTAGAATGAATTCTATAAATAAGTTTCTGTTGCAGCCATAGGATGGCATAATATGTGACCACTGAATGTGACAATAGATATAGAAGTATGTTGCTGTGCGAAGATGTATTTTGTTATACCCAGCAAGGAAAAAAGGATCAGTTTGATTATACATACACACAAACATTCTATGGTCTTGTGTTAACGAAAAATGTGCACAAAATATGATAACATTGCTAATTTCTGGGCATTTGCATTTTAAGTAAAGTTTCTCTTATCTGTGATTGCTGCAGTGAGCATGTACAACACTATTAGTACAAGTTTATTATTAATGGAATAATTGTTGGGAAGAGGAATATGAATATTGCCCAGATAAAAATAATCTCTCACTTTCTATTTTTTATCATCATCATCATTGTGTGTTATTATCTTTGAACTTTCAGCCTCTTCAGAAATAAAAAGGGAATGTTTTTATCTGTCTCCAGATTTTATGTATATATTTTATTATGTACATATATTTTTCTTACAAGTAGATTTATCTCATATATGCAAACGATAGATTAATCATTTCATTTTACTTTTATTCTTTGAAAGTAAAAATAACATATAAATGATTACTATTGCAAAAATACTGCTTTATAGGAGCTTACTTAAAAATTGAACTCCCCATCTGTATTTATCCATTCTTTCATTCAGTTTATTCATCAAACATACCCTGAGTGCCTATTAAGTAGCAGACATATTCTACTATCTCTCAGAACCCTTCCATCCTTAAAAACTTCGTGTTTACTGGCCCTGTCTGCACAAGCTGAGAGATTTGAAATGGGGATATTAGGACTTAATCTCATTTAAACTTTATCTCCCATCTTTCAAACAAAAGAATTTCTGAAGTTAGAAAATAGGAGAAGTTAACCTTTAACTGCCCTTTCAAAAGTTTATCAGTCTTAAACACTAATATTAATCATAGGAAAGTCTGATTTGCATATATTCTCTAAATGTAAGTACTGAATTAAATGATCCATACATATTTATTTGAATTATGAGTTTCCTTTGGCTTCAAGTTGTTTGAAAAATCCAAGAATTAATTTGTTTAAAAAAATGTATTACTGTTATTTCAGTGTTTTTTCCCCATAGTGACTAAGAACTGAAATGTATTTAAGTGTTATATCCCTAGAACTGCCCTAGACCTGCTGTTTATACCGTATGTTACTTAATATAAGGACTCATGGATTGTGTGATGCCCTATTATTATATATATCAATATAAAATAATTTTTAACATGCTACCAATTATAGTTATAATAAATCATTAATTATAAGTGGCATTCAAATATCAGAGGTGTTAAAATGTGACCTACTGTTTAAGTCATCCTACAAAGTAGGTATAATTGTATTATTTTACTTAATTAAAATTTTTTTTAAGTAGTAGTAATAGAAATAATCCCAGAACTCTGGGAGGCTGAGGTGGGAGGATCACTTGATGCCGGGAGTTTGAGACCAGCCTGAACAACAAAATGAGATTCTTGCTCTACATAAAATTTTAAATTAGTAGCTGGACATGCTGGTGCACATCTGTAGTCCAAGCTACTCAGGAGGCTGGGTATGGAGGATCGCTTGAGCCCAGGAGTTCCATGCTACAGTGAGGCATGATTACACCATTGCACTCCAGCCTGGGCAAAAGAGTGAGACTTTGTCTCAAAAAACAAAAATATAACAATTTTGAGTTGTTGCTGTAGGAACTATTTTAAATACTTTACATAGTTTCTCATTTAAGCATCATAATGTCCTATCAGATAGCTATTACTGTTGTTTTTATTAATGAGGAAGTTGAGGCACAGAAAAGCTAAGTAATAGCCGGTAAATGACAGAGTTTAAAGTAGGACTGAAACCCTAGTTGAACTGAATCCAAAGGCTGAGCTCTTTCTATTCAAATAGGCT